AAAAAAAAAAAAAAAAAAAAAAAAAAGCTTAACAACTCACAACCGTGCCATCATTATTTAGAGGACTAATTCTTAGTTCTATTATTTAGGAGGTGTTATACTGGCATGGATAACTGGAAAGTGAAAACCTCTGTTTTTGTACTTCTACCTCATTTTTTACTTAAATGTTCCATTTTAATTCCAAAATTCCAGTAAGCTCTTGGAAGGCTTGGATAAGTATTATAATTTTAGGTCTTCCTCGAAGTTTGTAACCTACCTATGGAAAGCAGCATACAGATCAATGATTATAAAAACATTTCTTTCCACGTGATTTAAACACAGATTTTACAATCCAAAAATATTTGTCATTTCAGTATGGTAATTGCATAGCAAGCTTTTTTCTTTTTCGAAGTCAGCAGCAATAAAAAACGAACTTCTTCCTTTGTTGATTACAGTATGTCAGTTGCCTTGACAACACTTAGTCCCCAAACATTCTTTCTAATTGAGACAATTTCTCTTTGCTTCAGTCCCCTAAGACTGACCCAATTACCTAACTCAAAACCCAAAACCCAAGAGGTGCCCTTTAATAAAGATACTCTTATTACACAACCTAAGGAAAATTTCAACACTACTTTTCCAAATTGCAAGGAAACTTCAGGCAACCCATTCTATTCTGCTTTTTAATAGCTAAAGCCTTACAAGTTGAATGACGATTGTTTGAACTAACTTTAAAACCATACATGCTATATTCAATGAACACATTATGGAACCCTAAATTTTTAATTTAATGTATTTGGCACAGGGTCTTACTATGCAGCTCAGACTCAGTGATCCTCCTGTCTCAGCTTCCACAGCACTGGAATTACAGGTGTGTGCCACCATGCCCAGTCTCGGTGCCACCCCAGAGGTGGGGCTGGCGCAGCACGTGGTACCAGGGATCAAATGGAACCCTAAATTTTTAATACAATTTCTGATAATACACATGCAGTGTATCAGTTATGTTCTCTAGCCTGTATTTGCATTGTATTTCTTCTAAGGTACAATTAAAATCTTCTAGGAGCAAGTAAGACCATGCTCAGTAAATTTATCATTGAACAAAAGTAAAAACATTTGTACACTACTACAACTTGACCTCATGAGAGGTAAGAAACTAGTAAAAATCATTAAAATCATACAAAACTTAAGCTATTGCAAATGTGGCACCTTAGAGAGAATTCCTGGAGAAAACATTTCAAAAAGAAAAATCAATGTTGAGTTAGTAATTATCAAAAGATTTTAAAACTTGGTTGCTTTTTAAAAAAATTTGGGGCCTGGGAGATAGCTTGGCAGTCAAAGCACTTGTCTGGCAAGTACAAGGACTCATGTTCGATCCCTGGTACCACATACTGTGCCAGCCACTGAAACCGGGTGTGGTGGTACACACCCGTAATCCCAGTGCTGGGGAGGATGAGACAGGAGGATCATGAGTCCAAACTGTGGAGGAGGAAGATCCTGTACCAAATAAATAAATAAGATTTCTAAATGGTTGATTTTAGAATATAATGATCATTAATTTGAAAATTTTTATTAGTTGATCAACATTTTAAATTTAGGAGGGCCAGGGAGATAGCTCAGTGGACTAAGCGCCTGCTTAGGCAAGCACAGGGACCAGGGTTTGATCCCCAGTACCACATGCCACGTCAGTCCTGCATGCCTGTAATCCCAGTGCTGGGGAGGCTGAAAACAGGAGGATCCCTACAAGTCCAAGCTATATAGTGAGACCCTGGACCAAATACATAAAATAAATAAATAAAATAAATTTTATTAGGGCTGGGGATAGATCATGCTTAACATTGAAAAAAAACAAAGGTTCAGTTTTTATTACACATATGCAAAAGCTTGAGCTTATTTTTTTATTTTTTATTTTTGGTGGAACCAGGGATTGAACTCAGGTCCTTGCGCTTGCCAGGGAAGCACTTATTCCACTAAGCCATCCCCCTGGCCCCATTGAGCTTATTTTATACCACATATACTAACATCTCTTACATTTCTACAACTATAGCATGTAATAGTGCTCTCAAAAAATGGTAATTTTTTTTCCTTTTTTCCTATTTACAACTGGAAGTTTTTTACATGTTCAGTTTTGGAGGGAGCTTAGATGTTTATTTTTATTTTATTTATCTGTATTTTTTAAGGAAGGGTCTAGAGAGTGTACTACTAGATTGGACTTATAGTAGATCTGCCTGTTTATAGCCTCCCAAGAGCTGGGCTTACAAGCACGCACTATCACACCCAGTCTCAACTGCATCTCAGCAAGGCCCAGGGGCTGGCACGGTAGGCCGGGGGATCAAACCCCCGGCCTCTGCGCCTGTTTGCAGGTGCTTTAATCTGCTGAGCTATTTGGCTGGCTCTTCACTGTTCTATGTTTTAATGATTTTATTTAGCCAAAAAGCAAAGGAAGAAAAAAGATAATATACACAGATCTAAAAGAAGGATTAACATAAAAGGCCCCAACTAATCTGAGCATCACGTTAATAAAGGTTAACTGTAAGAGAATTTATGATGAATTCTGTTAGATATAACCAATACTACTATAAGTTTTTGTTAGAGACAGTCTGGCTCTGTAGTTTAGGATGACCTTGAGCTCACTATGAAGTTCATGCTGGCCTGAAACTCGCAGTGATCCTGCCTCAGCCTGGCTGAGTGCTGGAATTACAGGCAGTGCACCATTTTAGTTTGATTTCAAAACAAAAAGTTGAAACAGAATTGCAACTTTCTCCATGGCAGATAGTTCAAGCTTGAAGAGGTGTGTCAGAAATCCTGAGGCCAGGGGCCAGGGATGCTGATCAGTGACATGGTGCCTGCCTGGCAAGCCTGAAGCCCTGAGTTCAATTCCTGGTACAAAAAAAAAATCCTAGGGCCAAACAAAGTGAATCTTTCAACAACCAGCCATCAACTCACTTTAAAATATAGATGTAATCATAAACACAATACTTTGCTTTTCTATATTATGAAATGCTGCTACCAAGAATGGATACTAGAGAAAAAATATGCCACATGACCCAATAAGGGCCTGATAACCAGAGACAAAAACATGGGGCTTAGAATTGTGCAAAAAAGCTTTCAGTTTCTTAAACCTGACATTTAGAGAATCTACAGAAATAAATTCTCCTAGAGACTGGATATCATGAAGGATGTTTTATGATATCAAACCATTAATAATTTAATTTTAAGTATTTTGCGGTGAAAAATATATTGTCCTAAGCAAGAGTTAACTGTTCATAAGGCTCATTTAAAAAAAAAAAAACACCTGTTTGTTTGGAAGTGGAAAATAATTGATAAAACGAAAGAAATATTTTAGTAAACACAAATGAACTTTGTAAAAAGAGGAAGCATTATGAAATGTATGACTAAGTGTTGTGTGCAAGACTAAGGGAGTTTTCAAAGTTTTTTGGTTTCTGGTTGTGCATAAAAATAAAAATAAGGGTGTTTTTCTTCAGATACAGTAACTATAAAATACTGCTTGATTTATGCTGGTTACTTTCGCCTTACATTCTGAACCTGGTTAAACTTTCATTTTTCCAGAGGGCCAGCAAAGCTAAAGAGTTCACTTAGTAAGTGACAAAATTCACCAGTGGAATGTATCGTGAGGCGCCATAGGGATTTGCCCGGGAGGGCAGACAAAAGAGTAAGGGCCACCGAATGTAAGCTGCCAAAGAGATGACAATCAGTCCCATGTGTAATTCGACTACTGGACCAAACCCCGCAGGGCGCTGTCTACAGCGAGGTGATCTGAGATTCTGCACATTTTTGGCTTCTCTCTTCTTTGAGTCCATCCTCGGGTGGGAAGTCGGCACAAGTCAAGGTGTGGAGCCCATCAATTTTGACTACGAACTCTTAAATCTTTCAACAGCCTCTTACTTGGACGTCCCCCGCCCCCAAAGGTCGCGCACCCGGACTTTACTCCCGTCGAAGAGACAGAGAGACAGTTGTTGGGGCGGCTCCCCGGCCATAAGGAACTCGCGCACGGGGCGTGGGGCGCCGAGGCAGAGCGAGAGACTGCCAGCTGCAAGACTTTGATTACCTTTTCGCGCTGGTCCCAGCTGTACTGCTTGGGCCGCTCCTCCTCGTTTTCGGGCCGCGATTCCTTCTCAGTCTTCCGCCCCTTAGAGAAAAAGCAGCCCATGACTGCAGCCTACGGATCTTGTCCGGCGGGACACTAGAGCAGGCACTTCCTGGAGTGTAGCGTGACCCCTGGACGCCCCTGCCCCGCAGCCCTTAGGGACACCACCTCCACGGAGCCGTCCAGCCACCCGCAGCCTCGGTTAGCCAGCCAGGCCCAGCACCCCTTTTTCTTTTCCCTTAGTCGCCCTGACTACCCACCGCAGCCAATGATTGCTTAGCGCCCATTGAGCCAATGAAAGCCTCGCGAGCAGCTCTGTGCGGCCTATGGACAGAGTCCCACGTAGTCACACCAATCCGCGCCTGACTCTTGTGACGGCGGCTGGGCCGATGGGTTCCGCCGTCTGCACAGCAGACCGGGTCCCCAACTCGGCCCTGTTCTGCGCTCCCAGCACCGTCCCTCCTGTAACTCGGTGGGGCTCCGTAGGTAGTGCGTTGGACTTTGTGTCAGGGTATTTTTACCCTTGTTTCTGTTCCCCCGCAACGCTAGCAGGGGGAGGAATGTTAGTGGAACGTTCGATTTGCTGTATGATGCAAAATTACCGAACAGAGATTCCTGCCCACTCAGGAGGGCCCTGAAGTTTGGATTCCTTTACTCCTCTCTTCGCCCTGTCCACTAGCTTTCTTAGAACTCATGTATCGCTCTAAAACTGCACAAGTCTTAGTAAAATAATTGTGCATCATCTCCCTATAATAATGGAGAATTTGGGACCAAAAGGCATGTCTGTATCTTTGTGTCCCCTAGCCTGGCCTAAGTCCATCCTGGGCACTTAATAAAGTTTCTGGATTGGCATTGGGCAACTTACTCCTGTAGTCCCAGCTGGGTAAGAGACTGACACAGGAGGATCTCTTGAGCTCAGGTGTTGGAGGTCAACCTGGGTGACATAGTGAGACCTCATTGAAATAAAATATTTGTGAAATGGATGGGTGGCAGACTTTGAAATATATACACACCAAATGTTAACACTGCTCAGGTCAAATTTTACGACAAGACACATACATTGCTTATTTATAGAAAAAGTGAATTGGCTTATGAGATACAGTATTTTGACATCTCTCTCTGCTGGACATTGTATTTATCTGTTCAGATCCAAATTTGGTTCTTTTGACTTTCCACACCTAGTCACATCTAGTGTGTATCTTAAATGAGTTGCTGACTTGAGCATTAAGGACGTTCTCCTTTTTGCTTCCTGTCCTCTATTACATAACCAGCATGAAAAATATAGGGCTAAGTATTAGAAATTACTGAAAATTTACGTTTCAGGTCTTAGGCAATAGGTCTTTGCCCAGTGCACTTTTTAATTTTCAGACCATGAAAATTCAGGCTATGAAAATTCTATGTGAGGATGTTTTGGAGCTAGATTCCCAGCAAATATTTTATATTCATAGAATGTTAAAACTGTGATCATTACATAGTGTAGTGGAGCAAGCAGAGATACAGATACATGAAGGGTCACAATGTGACCTGTGGTCACAATGAGAGTGGGTAGAGACTAGAAAACCTAACTGTGTTGTCTAAATTTAAATTTGCTCCTTTTTTATTCACTGAAAATGCAGAACTAAATAAGCATCTGCTTTGCCCTTCTGTAGCCTATGGTGTCCAAACAACCAACAACACACAAATAAACAAGGCAACAAAATGAATTTTAGAGACAATTTCTAAAACTCATTTTTTTGAATATTGTTCAGAAACTCAAACCTAAAACAAAACATGGATCCAACAGTGATCTTTTGAGCAACCCTAAAATAAAAGTGAAAATCCTCTTTCTGTTAATTGCAATCCGACCATCACTCATACACAAATGTTAACTAAATTAAATTAATTACAAAAAGCAGGGAGTAGAAAACCAATGAACAGAGCTAGTGCTTTCATGCTCTTTCCCCCACCTTACATTTATTTTTTCTCCTTTTCTTTTCTCTTTCTTCCATGAATTTTCATCACTATTTTATACAAACCATGTCTTACTAACCAGCCTATACATGACTGGTAACAGCTGTCCAACCTTGGTTGGTCCTGGCTTTTCTGTCCAAGTGTCCTATGGTCTTAAAATCTTAGTTCAGATTCTCATGGGCAAATACTATGATAAGTTATTGGGTAGTCAAAAACATTATCTGTAGATCAGTATGCACCCCCAGTCTAATTGCTGTACTAGCAAGGATAGATTCAATGATAAACATATGATTGTGAGCAGGTCCAGAAAATGAATATGCTAGTAGATCTAGGCACAGACTGAGTGCCTAGGCAGAGACTGATTGCTTCTTCTATTTATACTTTTCAGCTTCTTTTTTTCTTTCTGTTTTGTTTTGTTTTTGAAGCCAGTCCAGGTTGACCTGAAAGTCCCAGTCTTTATGCCTCAGACTCCTGAATATGAGGACTACCAACATATACCACCACACCCAGCACTCTATGATTTCTTTTCTGTAGAGTACTGCCCTTCATCTTCATCTTAATATATGTATTCATCTCTGTTTAAATGTTGGGTTGTGGGTTTATACATGGCCACAAACTGTAGAGATGGTTCTGAGTCCCTTGTTTGTTGACCACAGACATGCCGTAGTTACTTCCGTAGAGATAGTTTTGAAGTGGTATATCTCTATAGCATGAATAAATCGATTACCCCAGGAAAGTTAGCTGGGAAATTCCCCATGCCTGAGCTGACATGACACATCCTTGCTCACTCTGGATTCACCTAAGGAAACATCAAGTGAGGGAGGAAGGAAGAAGAATAGTGTTTCAGTTATCTGTTGCTGCACAACAAACCACTTGATCTGCAATGGCTTAAAACAACAGACGTTTTACTCACAAATCTTCATTTTTAGGTAAGGTGCAGCAGGAACAACTCAACCCCATTCCACAGTATGTTCAAAGGCTCAGTTGATATGAGTCCCATAGTTAAGAGTGGTGAGCAAGAGTCATTGCATATGAAATCTTGGGACCTCTCCACATGCTCTTCACAGCAGTATGGCTTTAGGGTAATTGGTCTACATACAGCAGCGATGGCAAACCTTTTAGAGACCAAGTGTCTGAACTGCAACTCAAAACTCACTAATTTGTTGCAAAGTACCAACACTACAATTCAACCTGAATAGCCAATGCTTTACTGCTAGGGCAATTTGGCTCCCATGCCAACAGAGAGGGCTGTTCATGCCTGCTGCGACATGTGCAATATGTTCACCACCTATGCCACGTAGCATACTCATGGCTCCAAGGGCAAGGGCTCCAAAAGTCTCATCCTGAGAAGCCACACAACATCACTTCCACCGATTTCTTGTGGTCACCCAAGGCCCATACTGACTCACAAAGCGAGAAGACTAAGCAAGAGAAATGAGTGTTGTGTGGTGCAGGTCTTTGAGTTGTCATCTCTGAAATTGGCTGCCATAGAGAGTATTAATGTATTACCTATGTATGAAAGAAGAGGACTGGAAGGTTTTAAAAAATTCTTCAGGCAGATGAAGTTTTTGATACACAAAGTATTTTAATCCCTAATATATAGTTCTTATGAGTTGATTGAAAACAACAGTAACATAATTGAAAAAAGGGCCAAGATCACCAGGCAGAGAAGGGTTTATAAATAACCAACAAACATTTGCAAAGATTCTCAGTCACAATAGCTAGTGAATACAGATTAAATAACCATTTTCACTTTTTATCCATTGACTTACATACAAAAATACTAAATATTAATCATATTCAGTGTTGGAAAGTGTGCAATAATAGAAGTAAAAATTTCTGTGTACCTTGAGAATGTGGCATGGTAGCCTGCATTAAGACATAAAGGACCAGGGAGATGGCTCAGTGGAATAAGTGCTTCCCTGGCAAGCGCCAGGGCCTGAGTTCAATCCCCAGTTCCACCAAAAAATAAAAATAAAAAAAAGACATAAAATGGGGCCAGGGAGATAGCTCAGTAGAATAGGCACTTGCCTGGCAAGCACAAGGTCCTGAGTTCAATTCCTGGAAAAAAAAAGACATAAAATGTAGTTGGGTGTGCTGGCACATGCCTGTAATCTCAGCACAAGTTTCTGAGGCAATATTTCTTTCCTTTTTTCTTTTTTTGACGTTTTTATTTTTTTATATTTTTTGACGTTTTTAAATCCTTTATATTTCCAGCAGTTGAGACAATATATTCAAGTGGCAAGTTTACCTCTAGTGGCAAAACCAGAGCCAGCTATTAAGCAGCCAGAATGCAACAGTAATTGAACATACAACCATTTCTCTTTTTGCACTTTCTTTATTTTCCTATTCTAGAAGTTGTAGGTGTGTTTACTTTGATTATCTGTCCTCTTGATGAAGCTGCATCTACAACAGTCATGTCATCCGATGTTTCAATTGTTGCATCTACATTTGAAATGCCATACATAGAATCATTTCTGACTGGCTGTCCATTTGGTGAACAGCATTTTCACTCATAGAGAACTAATTTTTTTCAGCCTACCAACTACATGGATTTCATCACTTTGAGAGGTTGGAGAAGGTCTTTCTAAATCCAGAAAATGTACTGCTCTCTCAATGTAAGTACACAAGGTGGTGTTTTTAGTGCCAGTGATTTTAAAGGAATCGACTGAATAAGGTCAATATCTGACGGTCTTGAAGATGAAACATCTTCATTATTTCCTGTTATAACAATCCTCTCTGGAACTTGCATTATCACACTACCATGTGGAACTCCTTCTTGGAATCCTTGTTCCAGGTCAGCATTTGGTGATGCTACTTTTAGTTTTTCTGGGACCCTCATTCGCTGACTAATACCTTCAGTGTATTGCATTTCATACTGAATTCGACTAATTTCTGCCATCTCAGCCAGCAGTGGGAGAAGGAAATGCTGCCATGCTAACCAAATGTGTACCACGTACTGCTTGTTGTCTGGCACTCTGCTTCTGAGCTTTATATTAATCCTTAACTTGCTTCCCGCGCATGGGCTGGACTTGCAGCCACCTCATTTCTCCTGGTCCTCCAGGAATGTCCCAGACAGGGCCTGGCCCACAGGCTCCTGGGGCATCCTCAGAGGCAGTTGGCTGAGCACCTAGGGCACCCCGGGGTGAGGCACCCGCGAAGCAGCCCACAGTGGCCGGGACAGATGCAGAATGGCTGGTATTGGCCCCTCTCAATTGCCGAAAAATATTTCTTATTATTTTAATTTTAAATAGTTCTTATGATTTTTCTTTCACTGCTTTTTTGGTCAGATACAACTATTTTA